TAGCTGAGAGCTTCCATCTGATCTGCAAGATAGAGGCAAAGAGAGAGAGACTGGACCTGGTGCGGACTTTTGAAACCTCAAAGCCCACCCCAGTGACACACCTCTTCCAACAGGCCACACCTCTTCCAACAGGCCACACCTCCTCCAACAGACCACACCTCCTCAAAAGACCACATCTGCTCCAACAGGCCACACCTCCTCCAACAGGCCACACCTCCTCAAAAGGCCGCACCTCCTCCAACAGGCCACACCCCTCCGATAGGCCACACCCCTCCAACAGACCGCACCTCCTCCAACAGGCCACACCCCTCCGATAGGCCACACCCCCTCCAACAGACCGCACCTCCTCCAAAAGGCCACACTTCCTCCAACAAAGCCATACCTCATATTCCTCCTAAACAGTTTCACCAACTGGGAACCAAACATTCAAATATATGAGCCTATGGGGGCCATTCTTATTTTAACCACCACAGCTTGTAATTCCAATACCGCTGTGGTGGAGACAGGAGGATGTCTGGGACTCTCTGGCCAGTCCAGATGAACCAGTCAGCTCCAGGTTGAGTAGAAACTCTGTCTCAAAAAACAAGATGTGTTTTCTCACTTAAATGTGAGAATGTGTTATCACTTAAAGAGAGAGGATGTGTGTGCACTCATGCCGTGGCGTGCACATGAAGGTCAGAGGATTGACTCAAGGGAGCAGTTTCTCTCTTTCCATCATGTGGGTCTCTGGGGATCGAACTCCAGCCATTAGTGTTGGCGGCAAGCACCTTTACCTGCAGAGCCGTCTCAGCTACCTACTTTAAAATTGTTTTAAAGACGGGCAGAAGGTCCAGGGATGCAGCTCAGCACAAAAGTGCATGCTTCAAATGTAAAAGGCCCCAGGTTCCATCCCAGTACAAGAAGTAAATTACTATATAATATAATATAACACAACACAACACAACATAATATAATATAATACAATATAATCTGAAAGGAGCCCCAGTCCCAGTGGTGCAAACCCCTACACAGTCAAGCAGTGAGGATTCAAGACCAGTGACCGAGCCTACGTGGCCCTGAGCCATGCCCTCTGCAGGGCCCTCAGCACAGGTGCCGATGTCCTCATCCCAGCAGTGACATTCCAAAGAAACACACGAAAGACCATCTGCCCTCCTGGAGACAGTGCTCTGCAGCTGCAGGGCTTCTGCAGCCTCTCCTGTGCACCCTACATCTGCAGTAGAGACCCCGACACCTGCAACAGCCTTTCCCCTTCTGAAACAGGAGCTCATGTCCACAGTGCTCAGGAATGACGCCACAGTCTTGTGCAGGAGCCACACCACCAACCTAAATCCTTCAGACTCCTTTGTAAACCCTGCTGCCCTACCGCTGCAAGGGCACACCTGGACAGGACACCTCTTTCTTATTGCCAACTTGACTGCATATGAAATCAACTAAACCCAAGCAGCTGGCCGCACCTGTGAGGGGTTTTTCTGATTGGACCATTTGAGGTGAGAAGACCCACCCTAAACCTGGGCCACGCCTACTGGTGGCAGCCCACATAAAATGACGGCCGAAGGAAGCTTTTGCTTTTTGCCTGCTTTCCCTCACTCTCACTGGCAAGTTCGTCTATCGTGTTGCTGAGGCATTCCTTTGCCGGGATTAGAACCTGCTTCTTGGGGCTGGAGAGATGGCTCAGCGGTTAAGAGCACTGGCTGCTCTTCCGGAGGTTCTGAGTTCAATTCCCAGCAACCACATGATGGCTCACAACCATCTGTAATGAGATCTGGCACCCACTTCTGGCCTGCAGGCATATCTGCAGGCAGAATACTGCATACATAATAAATAATAAATCCTTTAAAAAAAAAAAAAAAAGAACCTGCTTCTTCAGGATTCCAGTGTGTACTGACGACCAGCTGAGCCATCCAGCCCCGTGGACCGAACAACTGTTAGACTCTTGGCCATCGTTGGACTAGCTAGACCACAGTCTGTAAGCCACAGCAGTCGATCCCCTTTTTGATACAGGTAGATCCAGTCTCTCTGTTCTGTCCCTCTGAGAATCCTGACACTCGGTTCATATGAAAGTTTCCCTCATGAGTGCTTTGCTTGGTCTACCCTGGCGCTTAGGGCTCTTTTCTTGGGAGGTCCCATTGAGCCCACCAGGATATTTTGAGGCACTCTCTTGTCGCCCCTTTTGGGGTGACTCTAGCATGACTTCACCGGGACAGGACCCCCAGTTAAAAGGCTCAGCTTGCCAACTCCCTTGTAGCTAGCTGTGATCAGCCAGGCTGCCCAGCTGCCCTCTCTGAGCCTCTCTGCTGCTCGTGCTCCTTGGTTTGGTGCTCCTTGGTTTGGGGCTCCTTCCTCCAGTTTCAAACCCAGCAGCTTCAAACTCTCCCCTCTCTCTTTCTAAGCTGCGGAAGCCCACAAACTTTTCTTTCTGAAACACCTCTCCGTGGGCTATTTAATGCAATGCTGTGAAGTGTGGTGAGCTGGGTTTTGGGGTTTTTTTCTAATGAGGCTGAAAGCGGAAAGGAGAAGGGAAGTGGCCAGGACTGGGCTCCGGTGTGGCATTCTAGGCTGCACTGCTCAGAGCCACCACCAGGGGGCACTCGGGGCCATGGAATGCACTTCTTGTTCAGCGGCTTTCTCTGCTTCTGTCTGCTTCTGTCTGCCTGGCTCTGCTAACTTTGGGAATTGTCCCTCTCTGGCTCCAAGTGGCAGAAACAGTTCAGCCGATCCACATGTCGCCGTCACAGGGCACCTGTAGCACCTGCAGCCTGTTACTTGGGAGGTTCAGGCAGGAGAATCGCTTCAGCCCAGCAGTTCTCAGCCAGCCTGGGCAACACAGGGAGGGGAGACCGTCCCTCAAGGGGAGCTGTTGACTGGTGTGTTTCCAGCCCAAGGGACACGGGAGATTGGAGGCTCCTCTCTGTGGTGACCGACTTCCACTCCCATCACAAAGAGCCCAATGCCGCCTACCAAAGCCACTGTTCCCAAACCTGTTTGTGCAGTTGGACTTGCTCTAATTACACTTTCAATTATCAAGTAAGCTGATAACTAGAGTAAAACCAAGCAAAGTTGTTCTGGCAGCAAAGCCAAACAAGGTAAGTAGTGTGGAGCAGAGGAAACTGAAACAATCGGTGAGGGCAGAGAAGTGGGGTGGGGTGAGGGGCCTGGAACCCTCACCGACTTTCTCTTACAATAGTTTCCAAGTGTCTTTGAGCCTGACGGATGGATAGACTCATACCAAGAATAAAAGGCAGCCAAAGGCTATGCAACACGTCTGAAATCCCAGCACTGGGGAGGCAGAGGCAGGAGGATCAGGAGTTCAAAGTCACCCTCAGCTACATATGGAGTTCCAGGCCAGCCTGGACTACATGAGGCTGTGAAAGAGAATTCCTGGAAAGAAGCTGTCCCTGCAGAGACTGGCTGGCACCACAGAGGTGTGGAAAGGTTGTAATGCTTCAGGTCAAGAGCCTAATGACCTTATCTCGGGATAGTTTCTTCTTCTTCTTCTTCTTCTTCTTCTTCTTCTTCTTCTTCTTCTTCTTCTTCTTTTGTTTGTTTGTTTGGTTGATTTTTCAAGACAGTTTCTCTGTGTAACAGCTCTGGCTGTCCTGGAGCTGCTCTGTAGACCAGGCTTGTCTCGAACTCACAGAGATCCTCTTGCCTCTGCCTCCCGAGTGCTGAGGCTAAAGGTGTGAACCACCATTCCCTGCTAGTTTATGACTCTTAACTAGCCATTCCTCACCCATGTCAGTTCTAACGTTTTATGGCTAATAGAAAAAAACAAAAAAACCTCTTAGAATCTATTAACTTAGCAGACCACTAGCTTCCACTAACCCCAAAGCTAAGAAAGTCATCGGCTAGTACCTGAGGCCTCTAAGAGAGACTCCTCATCTTGTGATGGCCTCTTTTATGTCTCCACCAAGGCATTTTAAATTTGTATTTTTTAATTTTTATGTACATGAGTGTTTTTGCCTGCACATATGTCTGTGTACCATGTACATGCCTGGTGCTCATGGAGACCAAAGGAGGGTGCTGGATCCCCTGGGACTGGACTTATGGTTGATTGTGAGCACCATGTGGATGCCACGAATTGAACCCAGGTCTTCTGGAAGAACAGCCACTGCCCTTAACTGCTGAGCCAATGCTCCAGCCCTCCCCTGATATTTTTTTTTTTTTTTTTTTGGTTTTTCGAGACAGGGTTTCTCTGTGTAGCTTTGCGCCTTTCCTGGAACTCACTTGGTAGCCCAGGCTGGCCTCGAACTCACAGAGATCCGCCGGCCTCTGCCTCCCGAGTGCTGGGATTAAAGACGTGCGCCACCACCGCCTGGCTGATATTTTATTTTAAAAAGTGCCTTGTTTTAAGACTTTCTTTATTCTGTTACTATAAAAACTCCAGGAAATTGCTTTCATGTGGGAACTTGGAGCCTGATGTAACCTAGGCCCGTGTTTCCTGGAATTTGGTCACTCAAATTTGACTCCAGAATAAATTATCTCTTATTTCCTTTGAGGCAAGGGTTGTATTTTTATGTCAACAAGGCCCATCTCAAATAAATAGATAAAAATACAAAGCCTTGGGGCAGGAGTATGTAGCTCAGTGGTTAGATTCCCATCACAGTGAAGTATGCAGAACCCTTCATTTCATATTGAAGATGTGTGGATGTCATTTTTCGCCATTTTACTGTAAACTAGAATGTGCACACCCCATCTGCCCTTCCCCCTTCTCTCTCATCTGTGGATGGACTTAATTCCAGTTAGAGTGCCTTGGCCAGAAGGGGCCACTACAAACTGCCCCCAGCTAGAGGAGTAACTGTTGTGTGAAGCTTTTTCTAGGGAGATAGAACAGCATGTTTACTCACTCCAGTGGGGTATCAATGACAGACCCAAGTAACGATACCACCAAAGTCCAACCAAGTGAAGCCTTGAGTTTCCTGGGGTTACTTACAGGAGCCTGGACAGCCTGAAGGCACTGCGACTAGAAGCCCAGGCCAGCCGGATGGATGACAGCTCCGGAAAGCCGGAAATGGGTAGCCGGACTGTGTATTCGGCAGACCCTACTCCTTATAGAGCCTGGGGGGGGGGGATTGTGTGTGAATCTGGTAATTTCAGGGACTTCTTGAGTTATTTTCTTAAGGTCCCTCGTTGTAGCGCTTTCTCAATCTTCTCTCCAGGATGGGATGTTTCAGTTCAGGGAAAATGACTACACAGCCCTGACTTGGCCCTTGGATAATTAATTGATCTATTTCTTGGTGGGATTTCCTGTTGGAACCCTGGGAATACTTTGGGATAACTGAAGCCTGGTGCTGTACGCAGGGCTTGGATGCCTACTTTGGAGGTTGGGGGTTTGAGCCCGGAGATGCCACAGCACAAACTCAAACCCTTGCTGAAGCACAGTGTGATGTCCCCCAGGAGCTCTCTGTTGAAGGCTAAGATACAGTCCCAGTTTAGAGGTTCGGCTTTTGGGGAGCCATCGGATCAAGGGGGCGCTGACTTCATGATGGTCCACTGATACCACTGATGGGTTCCTATTGTGATGGAGGGTTACAGGTTTGCAGCAGGACCGACTAGGTTTCAACCTGTTTTACCATACCGGGATGGTTTGCAGGGCTTGGGGAAAGCCTCTTAACCCCCTCAGAACTTCAACTTTTTGGAATGTACCATCGACCCAATGTCCTGCACAGGGCTGAGAGAGAGGTAAAGGGGCAGTGCAGCTCCTGGCGCCCACAGGTAGGAAAAGGGACAGTGGCCAGCTCCTGGCGTCCGCGGGTAGGACGTCTCTCCCGTTTGTGCCCCTCTAGACGAGGCCCGACAGCCCCGGGGCGATCAAGCCGCTGTGACCCCGACTGGAGCGCGGCCCCTTTAAGGTCGCTTTGGATGACCCAAAGGCCAGAGCGACCCTCTAGCGGCAGTCTCGATGGTAAGTCTTCACTTCCGGCCGGAAGTGCATTTGCGGAGCTGCTTCCGCCGGGGGAGATGAGCCCGCGTGCTTCGTATTGAGGGGAATTTACTCTGTGGAGCGCGGCCCGGAGGCTCCCAGGACTTTAGAAACTCTCCCGGGGCTCGAGCAACCGCTCTCGGGACGCCCACGGGCGGAGCCGCGGACGGGCGGCGGCCTGCAGGGGTGCACTGTGCCGGGCCGTCCCCGCCGGCCGTGCACGGGCTTGTTCGGTGTCCGCCGCACACGAGGCCAGCGGCGTAAACCGAATTGTATTACTCTTTTTTTCTTTTTCTCTCCCACTCAGAAAATGAACTCTCCGGCCCCCAGCGACTGGACGAAATCACGCAATAACTCCTTTCTCCTCTGAGGAGTGACCTCAGCCGGGGCCACCAGGTATGTCGAGCCCGGAGGTAGAGTGTGCTAAGGTGGACGGTCTGGGGAAAGGCTCCTGTGTGGTTGAACCTGCCCGAGGTGGGTGCAGCCTTGTACCAGACAGCCCGACCTTGACCTAAAGTAAATTCCCAGAGGAACATGTTCCCTGGGATTAGAATTTGCAGTTACAGGTGTGAACATCTTAGCAGTTTGGTGATCATGTATGATACTGCAAACAGGACCCTTGCTGGCACTGTCAGACGGAGCGCTGCTCGGAACGCCGCAAGGATTTGATGTTTTTTTCCTTCTAAAGTAAATATTTGATCTATCACTGTAGCCCCTCATTATAGGTGGGTTTTTGTTTGTTTGTTTGTTTGTTTGTTTTTATGTGTGTGAATGTTTGCCTGGTGCCCTCGGAGGCCAAAAGAGTGTACCAGATGCCCTGGAAGTGCAATTACAGATAGATGTGAGCCCCAGTGTGGAACTGAACCCAGGTCCTCTGTAAGAGCAGCAAGTGCTCTTAACTGCTGAGCCATCTCTGCAGCGATAGCACCACCCCCCTCTAAGATAGGGTCTCATTTAGCCCAGGCTGCCCTTGAACTCATCTATTTGAGGATGGCCTTTCAACTTCTGATCCTCCTTCCTCTGCCTCTGGATTGCTGGATTACAGGCACCCTCTACAACACCTGGTTTATGTGGTGCTGGGGATCAAACCCGAGGCTTTGTGCATGCTAGGCAAGTACTCTACCGACTGGGTACATGCTGTGCCCCTCGTGGAGTTTAAACAAAAGGATATACGTATATTTGTGAGTTCAGATATCACTGTATAAGACAGCTAGCTGTACAACCAGACTGATGATAGATAGTTCACCTGGACTCCCCTGAGCACCAGGGGCCTCATGTGGCTGTCTTTGCAGTGTGGTTGAGGGAGTAGAATTCATATTTTACGTAGCTGCATGGGGCCAGTGGTCACCATGTTGGAGGTCCCGGGTCTGGCACACGTCAAAAGAGTGTTGACAGTAATCTGCCATAGTTAAGGCATGCCACATGCTTTTCAGGGGCTTGTGGGCCTTGCTGGAGTGTGACTCGGTGGTAGAATGTGTGTTTAGTATGTCTGAGGTCCTGGTTGTTAAGGGACTTAGCATCTGTCAAGTAGACAACAGGAAAGAGACTGTACACGTGGGGACTTGTCGGGAGTGTGGTGGTCCTGTGAAGTGGTACAGGTGGAGCATGGGGGGAGTCAAACAGGAATGGATTTCAACCGGGGCTCAGCTGCCTTGGTCGCCAGAGACCTGGCTTGTGGCTGTTGACCAACAAGTTTCCAAGGAAAGCCCACAGTTAAACCAAAAGAGCAAAAGGTGAGGAAGTCACTGACCTGGATGGGTGGCCATCCCTGGGTGCCAGCAGTTTCTGTACAGTTAGAAGGACAGGCGAGTCGAAGCAGAGACTTGCCACCTTGTACACCCACCTGGGCTCGGGGAGTGTTTCGTGGGCTGGTGGTTTTAACTAAATGGAGATTTGAAGTAGGGTGAAGACTGATGGCACCTGCTTCCCTTTTTCAGGTCATCTGACTGGAAGGTTGCTATGTGTGCCCTGAATGAGAACCTGGCCCTGCTGCGTGCACCTGGACCTCTTGGGTTTGACTCTGACATGCTTTTTGGATGTCTACCAGCTTAGACTGCTTTGTGTGGTGGCTGTAAATAAATGGAGTTTGACCACACTGTTTTGATTGCTTGTCTGACAGTGTCTCACTGTGTAGCCTGGCTGGGCTGGTCCTTGGAGATCCACCTGCCTCTGCCTCCCAGGTACTGGGGTGAAAGCATGTGCCACCACACCCAGCTTCACACTCTTGGTGGTTTCCGTGCCTGTGCAGGTGTGGGCTTGCATGGCCAACATGGGTTGAGTGGCCCTCTTCCCACCCAGCTGGTTTGAGCACAAAGCACACACCTATCCAAAGAGTTCTACAGGGAATGTAGGCTCTGGGGCACAGGGTTCTCAGGGAAACTAAGTTGTAGGAGATTGTCTTGATTGGGAGATGTCCAAGTCCCTGGGATCCCATGGCCTTCTGGGCACTCCTCTCGATCTCCATAGGAGTTACCAGACAGACAGTGGCTATTCAGGGATCTGCTCACCTGTGTGCCCTGGGATTACTGAAACCCACTTGCTGGTGTACCTCTTAATTTTATGTGTGTATGGCTGTTTTGCCTGAATGTAGGTCTGTGTCTTTGGAAGCCATTGAATCCCCTAGAACTGGAGTTACAGATGGGTCTGAGGCACCCTATGGGTATTGGGAATCGAACCTAGGTCCCCTGCAAGAGTAGCCAATGGGCTTAGCTGATGACACATCTCTCCAGTCCCAGCTGGTATGCCTCTTAAACCCTCACGGGCCCCTTTCTGGCTGGCTGGCCTTGCAGGTACGTAGAAGGGCACTGTATTTTCTGTGGGAATGAGCTCTCCCTCTCCTGAGAGCCTCGGGGGTCATGGCTGTCTGGGGTCATCTTTGGTGCTACCTTTGTCCTGGATCCTGGTCCGTCTGACCCAGCGTCCTCAGCAGGGTCAGAACCACCAGTGTCCCGCTTCTGCCCAGTTGCACACTTAGGAACCTTGTCACAGATGGGGCACACTGCTCTCAATGAGTGTGTGGTTGTTTACAAGAGCACAGTGTGCCTTGTCTCCCATCTTGTACCTGGGTTGTTTGCACGGTCTGGAAGGCTGGCTTGCTGTGGCCCCTTGGCTTACATTATGTCATTGAATATGACTCATTGGGCCTCTTTGTGGTCCTAACATCCCAAAGTTATCCAGCTAACTCTGAGGGCCTACCCAGATGTAAGGTCTTGAGTGGTTTGCAACAACCAGTAATAATAAGGACTTAAAGCAGTGGTGGGGGCACCGTGGAAGTTTCTGGTGTCCAGCAGCCCTTTAGGTGGCCGAGGACGGACTCAGTGTGGAGGCAGAAACTCTGGGTTTTCCACTGGGGCTTCAGGTCGCAGCTCTGCACCAGCCAGCCCTGTGGACTTGGGCATGTCACTTCGTTTGTGCCTGGAGGGCCTTGATACAGAGATTGTGATGGTGACTGCTCCTTAGGGTAAAGTGGGGCCACCCCATGGAAGGAGCCCCATGCTACAGACAGCTGGGGTAGCTGCAGACTCCTGGCATCGCCCCCACGTTCACATTTGGGCCTCACGAAAGCGGCACCATTGTCCACGTGCTGTCTCTAGAAAAAGACTGTTTGCTGCCTAAATTAATGTGTTAAGATGCAATGTTCACTGGAAAAAATAGTTTGTACTGATCTTTCTGGAGTAGACTGTTTTGGTGGCATGTCCCTGACTCATCCTGGTGTGGGGTGTTTTTTCTGCCCACAGAATGTGGTGTCTTCATGGTGGCTCCAGTCTGCCCCCAGAACCTGTCTGGGCAACTGGGGCCTCTTGTTCTGTCCTGGCTTGACAGTTTACTCAATGTCAGCTCTTGAGCCCCTCTGACCATGTGTCTGACTGAAGCCTGCAGAATGCTGTGGGTGGAGCTACTCAAGACCCCCATGGTCCTTCCAGTCAGCCAAGGAAGGGTGCTGCAGAGAGACAGGACCTCACACCCAGTTCTGAATGACTTGGTACCTAGTCCAGCCTCGACTCCTCAGCATCCTGCCACACTCCACTGCTGGGATTACAGGCACAAGCCTCCGTGAACTATTCTGGTGGGTTTTTTAAGATGGGAACTCACTGTGTAGTCCAGGCTGGCCTTGAATTTGTGGTCATGCCTCAGCCTTGATGCTGTGGTACAAGTGCCACTGCCATGCTGTGTGCTCAGGGACTTCTTAGGCAGAAGTTGGCCCAGGGCCAGGGAAAGGACTAACGGAGAGAAGATCATGAGGCCTGAGCTGAGGTGCCAAACCCTCCTGGGTAGCACTTACATCTGGTCCTATTCTGGCTAAAAATGTGCCCTGAGGTGGCCTCTGCTGATGTCATTGTTGACTGTGTGGCAGTAGGCTCCTGTGACTAGCTTGCTAGCTGCCTTTGGGGCTCAGGGGAATAAAGATTCCACGGAAACCAGAATATTTCATGTGACTGGAAGAGTTCCCAGCCAACCTCTGCTCCCATTTATTTCTTCCATAGATCCCCCAACCTTGTGCTTGCCTAGCCTTTGTGCCTAGCCGCTGACGACACAGGCATGCTTAAGATGGTGTCTTGGCATGTCCTGGACAGGCCTGAGCCTCTGTGACCATCTCTGGATTCCATAAGGATTAGGGCCGGCCCAGGAAATCTGGTCAAGAAGGCCCCAGTGCTGGGGAGGTAGCCGGGCTGGAAAAGTGCTTCGTGAACCCGAGGACCTGTTTTATCCCCAGAACCCAAGTAAAAAGCTGGACGTGGTGGCATCTGACAGAGGCAGGCAGATCCCTGGGGTTCACTGGCCCCTGGTGTAACCTACTTGGTGAGTTCCAGGCCAGTGAGGGGATGTGTCTCAAAAGCAAGGTGGGCAGCACTTAGGGAAATACCCGTGACACGGGCAAAAGGAAATCCTTGGACGCTAGAGCTGTTGGTGAAGTAGGACTTGTAGCTTCTCTTCTTGTCCACTAGGAGGTGCAATCCTTCAGGCGCTCTTGGCAACGGCCGGTACTACAAAGCCTAGGGTTCGTTTTGTTTCTAAAGCCAAGACTTTTTTCAGCAGAAAGCTATGTGGGAAATGCAGCTGCAGGGCGGGGCTCTTGCTTAGGAATCCGTCAGTTGGTCCCAGTTTTGCTTGGTTCCTGGGAAATGCTTATGTCCCGGAACAGCTGCGCCGTCTGGGCTTGTGCAGTTGGGGACAAGGGCATGTTCTAATGTGTCTCTCCACACAGAGACACTCTTCAGCATTCTCTTGGCACACGTGCCGATATGTGATTTCCCCGAGCACGAAGGGTTTAACAGTGGTTCTCAGCCAGTGGGTTGCGACCCCCTTGGAAAACCTCTTATCTCCAAAATGCGTTACCATTCGTAACAGTGGCACAATTAGTTATGAAGTAGCAACAAAAAGTAATTTTACAATTGGGGGTCACCACAACATGAGGAACTGTATTAAAGGGTTGCAAGCATTAGGAAGGCTGAGAACCCTTGGTTTAGAAATGTCCGAAGCAAGAACTTCCTGTACTTGACGATGAAGAGTAAGAGATGGAGCCAGCGTGGTTTAGATTACTGATTGCCAGCCCGATATCTGTGAGTTCGAGGCCAGCCTGGTCTACAGAGTGAGATCCAGGACAGGCCCCAAAACTACACAGAGAAACCCTGTCTCGAAAAAACCAAAAAAGAAAAAAAAGAAAAGGGCAGGTAAATGGGGAAGTAGAGTCAGGATTCCAGAAGTGTGGTCCTCTGAGCCTGGTTAACACCTTCCTGATGTCTAAACACATTGAATTGAGCTTTCTGATGGATCCCAATGAAGTTTAATTAGACACTAAGTGCTGGCCTCATTAGGCTACAGACACCCTCTGGGAACTTCCGATCCCTGGGGGAAGATAGGAAATATATGAGAGAAAGTGTGGGAAGGGAAAGCAAGGGAGGATGGGATTGAGGTTTTCAGTCCTGGATGAGGACACCAGGAAATGCCAAAGAGGTGACCTTTAGCAAAACCCAAGGTCGGAGAGTAAGTGGGGAGGGCAGGAAGAGCCCCTCGCAGAGGGAAGGCCAGCACTCTGGGTGCAGACGAGAAGGGTTTTGGGGTGCTGAGCAGTCTCCTAAGACCCAACAGGCTCCGAAGTGGGAGGCTTTAGCTTCCTGGAAAAATGGAGCTAAAATGTGTGCATGCTTTCTTCTTTGGAGGGGGTGGGAAAGCTTACCACTCATGAAGTAGCTTATGTGAGGAGCCTTTCTTCTTTTTTTTTTTTTTTTTTTTTTTTTTTTTTTTTTTTGGTTTTTTGGAGACAGGGTTTCTCTGTGTAGCTTTGCGCCTTTCCTGGAACTCACTTGGTAGTCCAGGCTGGCCTCGAACTCACAGAGATCCACCTGGCTCTGCCTCCCGAGTGCTGGGATTAAAGGCGTGCGCCACCACCGCCCGGCCGCCTTTCTTCTTATACAGATGAAAATGCCCACCGAGAGGACCTGCGGTCTTTGCCTGAGGGATGACGGGAGTAGAACACACTGTGATAGGTAAAGACAGTCAATGCCACAGCCACATAAAGCCCTTGTCCAGTCACCATATCTAGAAGCCTGCTGCCTCCATCTTGGTCCTGCTGCAGTCGGTGTGTGTGTGCGTGCGCATGTGTGCGCATGTGTGTGTGTGTGTGTGTGTGTGTGTGTGTGTGTGTGTGTGTGTGTGTGCTGTGCTAAGGGTTGAACCTAGGGCCTTGGGCATGCTAGGCAGGTACTCTACCATTGAGCATGTGTATACCACTGTGCCCCCAGCCCTCAGTTTTACTCTTTAAGACAATCTTGATATGTTGCAGAGGTTGGCCTTCAGCTCATCCCTCTGTAGCCTAGACTGCTGGGCCTTGGACTTGTGACTGGCCTGCCATATCCTCCAGGAGTAGCTGGGATTGCAGGCCTGTGCCTCCAACCCCAGCTGGTCCCAGTGTGCTCCGGTTCCCTTGCTCATTCCTACCCCTGCCCCAGCTGCTCATGGGTGGGAAGCCCTTAGGACTCTGCTTTTCAACAAAAACTGGATGTGCTTGTTTCAAGTCTCTGTTTAAACCTCAATCAGGAAAACCACAGAAGCGCTTTCTCTTTTAATCTTTACAAGCAGAAGCCTGTCTGGGCT